ATATACATATATATATATATATATATATATATGCGCTTAGACATTTTATCTAACAAAAATTCTAGCTAATTTCATTACACTATTTACCTAACAAAATTTCAAACCAAAAAAATAATCCAAATCCTCAAGTTTCTAATGGGAGAGACTGGCAGCCTCTTACAAATAGGCTACAGTCAGTATCAGCAGTTAATTCTACGCCTACCTATATTCTTATGACTCAATAACAACAAATAGAGGCTGTAAAAATTCATCCATCCAAACATTTGAGCTCCATTCATCAGAAACTTATTGCCCAAAGATTTCCAGCATCCTATGTACACCATAAGCTGAATCAGTTTCCACAAAATTTACAACATAAGATTTGCCGAGCCGCTACCTGCATAAATGACCATGAAACTGTGCTTTAAGAATAGCGAAGAAATAACAAAATTAACCAAAAGTGTTGATTTTATCGAGTAAAATGACTTCTTTTATTAACAGTGGCCAAACGAATGCGATCCTCCCATCACAAATGATAACGTCCACTCATGATTTATTACAACGGGTGTCTCCATACATTACACACAATTCTGATGTATTTACATCTCACATCGAAACTTTCATAAATACACACATAGCATTCAAATTTTTATTACAACACAACAACAAAGCCTTGATCCCACTATGTGGGGTCGGCTACATGAATCCTTTTTCTCCATTGCGTCCTATTTAGTGTCATATTTTTATTTAGTTCTAATAAATTAAGATCATTTTTTATACAATAAGCCCAAGTCTTTCTAGGTCTACTCTGTCTTTCTTAACATAAGTCGAATCTAAAACATTGACTCTCCTAATCGGATCATCAGATGGTCGACATTTATTGTGTCCAAACCATCTAAGACGACTATCTCAGTGAATGCCTTTCTTAGCATTCAAATTTTTATTATCACATAAAAATAGCACTGTTGTCATTTTTAAAAAATGAAATACACATTTTCATGCAATGGTTTAAAACACGAAAGTGCTATGTATGTAAATATTAAAGTTTATGCATGAGAAATGTAAGTACATAAGAATTGTGTGCTACGAATATAAATTTCCCTTGTTACAGAAAGAAAGAGCAGTAAAAAATTATGAAGTGGTTGTCTACTGATAAATCATTATGGAAGCAACATTGATAATAGTCAATGTAAAACAAAAAAGGAAGATTAGCAAACATACCAATTAATTCCTATGTATTTCCCTTGTTACAGAAAGAAAGAGCAGTAAAAAATTATGAAGTGGTTGTCTACTGATAAATCATTATGGAAGCAACATTGATAATAGTCAATGTAAAACAAAAAGGAAGATTAGCAAACATACCAATTAATTCCTATGTATTTATATAACTAACACGTGAACTTCAACTTTTATATTTATGCAACCTTAACTATGCATGAAAAGGTGCATTTGACTTTTTAAAGTTAAAAGAGTGATATTTTTTATGTTTTATGAAAGATTTGGGTGGTATAAATGTAAAGAGTATAGGTTTTAGATATGTAAATAGATGGGATTTTGGTGTTATGTATGTAAATATTCCAATAAAAAATCATACCTATTGATATTAACAGTTAGGATCCCTCCTCGTCTGAACTGAAATCATCCATATGTTGTTCCTTAATTGTTGGAAATAGCATTCGTCGTGGTTCCGGAATTGGTTGTAATGTTGGATTGTCCTTATTTTCTAGTCTTTTTATCACTTTTTTGGGAGTTTCTCTGACCACTTTGCAAGCCTTGTCCACCATACCCATAAAGTCCCGCACAATGACAAACAATCTTAACCCCTCATCTCTCCCCGCACTTCCATGAAAGTAATCAGTGGTGTTCTTCACCAATAATCTTACTCTCTTTTCTTCTTCCAACAGGTACGTAATGTCAGCCTCGGCATGTTCAACAAAAGCTTTAAGAGAGTCATGGAAACTACTTTCCTCCATCAAGTTTCTCATATCAGTGTTTAAGAACTCCTTCGTTTTCACCAATCTGTGACCCAGACCTGCCACTGTAATGGTTAGGGCATCCGCATCCAATCCAGCCGCATTTTTTACATTCTCAAGTTCGCTGCTCATACATGAAACGGCCTTAAGGCCGAGGGTTCGGTACAGATCTTCGGATTGTTCAGGAAGCTCTTCGGATAATTCTTTGGAATTAGAGCTAGAGATGGAAATGTTCGAGTTACTCCTATTTTCTCTGGCAATGTGAACAGCACGTCTCCCTTCGGATCGGATAATCTCTTGAACAACAAAATGAAGGAGAGTGGTCTTCCCATCGGCACCCTTAACATCGGATAGCTTTAAAAGTGTGTCGAGCTTAAATGCTTGTGCTCCTCCACGAAAGGTACCATCATTCATACGGTTACCAGTTTTAAGAACTGCCTCAAGTAGTTTCAAAAATAAACGGCTATTTCTGAGCTCCTTACAGGCTTCCTGATATAGATTGATAGAATATTTCAGTTTACAGTAAATAAATAGGATTAAATTTGAAAAAAGAAATGAAGGTTGACATTCATGTGAATAAAAGTTAAGCATGCTTAACACCAAAATATTAAATACATAGATAATTAACACCCAACTACTATTTATAACAATATAACCTGAATCTGGAAGAGCAAAATAAAATCCGAGCTTGTGTTTTTTTTATTTGTTACCTTCATTAAACTCTCAATAGTTTAGTTATAGCACACACAAAATAAATGAATTTGCTAATTCATTTGTTTGGGTGTGTGCATGAAAGTAAATATACAAGATTTCGGTGGTTCGAGTGTAAATCTCCCTTGCAAGATGAAAAAGCCCGGTAATATTGTTGGAAAACTAGGAAGTCCTTTACCAGGTGAAAGCTTTCGCATAATAGTAGATCAATGACACCAAATTTATTATACTACAAAAGTGTCAAACTGGTCATCTGACTCTTTGCAAGGGGACATTTTAGTCCCAGAGTTTATAAAAATTTTAATTTAGTCCCCAAACTTTTTTAATACGAGTTGAAATAGCCCCCAATGATGACTACTTTAGCCCCAATGAAACTAGTTCGGAACTAATTTAGCACTTTTATAAACTACGGGACTAAAATATCCCAATCAAAATAATCTTGGGACTATTTTGGCACTTTACTCAGCAAAGTTGGGCTGTGAGAAAAACTTACCTCAATAGTTGATAAAGATTCCTTCACAAATGTGGATTCCTCTTGTAGAGTAGTCATTAATAGCAATGCATCCATTCTTTTGAAAGCAAAAGGAATATTTACTATAGCTTTCAGGAATTGTTCTGCAGGTCCAAGTAAGGCTGTGTTATCATTAAACAGCTTAAGCTTCAGTTCTTCATCAGACGTTGGTGCCATTCTCAACAATGCTTGGAGCAGGTCAACTGGAAGCTCATTTCCTGGATGGAAATGTTTCACGTTAAGACTTCTATTTATAAAGAATGCAATGCAAAATCATTCTTAATAAAATAATTTAGCAACAAAATATGCACACAATTTCCATGAAAAATCTCATAGGACATTACTTATTTTATTAAGCAAAAATACTTTCAAGGCTCTGGCCATATCAGTCATCGCTATTACGGTATTTTATTTTGAATTTTTTGAATAGATGCCAAATCAGCTAATTGGCCCACCCTGTGAAGAAAAAATTATACAAAATGTGGGCTCTGAAAAGCTTTTCATTCTTGTAAATCAGAAAAAAAAAAATCCTTGAGGAATAGGACGAGAATAGAGGAGCATGAAAAAACAAAAAGTTTTTTGGACTGAATTTTATTTCATTATTGTGTCAAGAAATAATAAGTTGATTAAACAATAATCAGTGGAAGAAAAATTTAATAATGCAGTTTAGAATTTATAACATTGTAGAAATGAAATATGGTTGTGCATGAAAATATTGTAGGTGAAAAGTTGTTATCCAAGGATTGCTATATTGGTCTAGCTGGAAATTTACAATCTATGGATTGATGGGATATTGTAGATAAAAAGTGCTGTCCACAGCAGCACTCCCCGTCAAACTAGATTGTATATAATGATCACATCCAACTTACTGATTAGATTATCAGCACACATTATGGTAAAGCAGCTGATGAAGATATTTATAGTTTAAAATTTTATTAGAACCCTTTTTTTATATGAAATGTCAGACCATAACGACCTGATAAGTTGTATGACGATAGAAAATTTTTTTTTGCAATAGTCAAGGCAACGTAGTTGCACAGTTATATATTTGGACATTCCCTTAATAGTTTAGTTCTTCTAATATTTTTTAAACCACATTCGTTCACAATTACCAAGTGTCCCTATGATGTATTCAGCTTCAGGACTAGAGAAAGATTGTGATACCGGAATAACCCACACAGCAATGAAAATAATATTATTGCTAAAAATCAAATAAGAAATTACAAACAATCAACTGAAAAATGAGAAATAACAGCACAAACACAGCACATGTGTGACTAGAGTAGCATCCCAAGAGGGGTAATGTTGGTTGTTATGCACGATGGAGGTGTGGGAGAGCTGTTGTGGTTGTGCGATGGCAGTAGTTGGGAAGAAAGCTGCAGTGGAGTGATAGCAGAGGAAGGTCCGCCAGGTTGTGGATGGCAATAGAAGAGAGGATTGCCAATGGATGGATGGCAGACCAGTAGGGGGAAGGGGCTGCGGCAGACGCAACAGTTAGATATTGGCGGGGAAGGGGCCGCATGCAGGTGGAAGTTGAGAAGGGACCGCAGGCAGGTGGGGGTTGGGAGGAGGCGAAAGTGGCAGCGGCCGGACAAAGCAGGTGTCATGGTTGGAAAGGACGGCGGGGAGACAGCGAGGTTGTTGTCTTCGGGTAGAGGGGTGGCTGCAGCGGTGAAGGCAACGTCAGGGGCAGCGGAGGTTAGATTGTGGAGCATGGGAAAGTTGGGGATAATCACCACCTCAGAACAAGATATAATTGGAGCACCACTCGTCCTCGGATACAGCCCTAAAAGGGAAAATGAGGAACGCCGATGGCTGTCTTGACAAAAAAATATAACGAAAACTGCCCTAAAACAAGAAAAGTAACATATAAATACTAGTAGATAACTAAGGGGGCCTCCCCCTCACTTGGGCGAAAACCTAGCCCCACGACAAGGTCCGGCCGACTAGATTCCTACTGACCGAACCGGTCATCCTAAACCAAACTGGTTATAGCCTGGACCGAACAGGTTGGCCTCTCCCTAGGAAAGTCAAGCCCTACATCAATCTTCTGAGGTTGAGGAAGCTTCAACTTACATGTGATGGTGACAGAATTGTTGTAACTGTTGGGGCTAAAGAATCTTCGGCTGCGGCACTTGTAGCACCTGGATCTTATTGTTGGTTGCACTATCCCCCAAAACCCTGAAGGAGTTTTCTCCACTTACAAGTATACATGTATATCGATCCAACCTTCTAGGGGTACATTACTGAACTGGACTGGGAATTCGTGCCACGTATATGCTATTGAATCCACCCAAAGTAACCAAGGTTGGCTCAGCCTGATCTAAAGCGAGGATAGCCTAAATCTCCCCAATCGGTGGTGGACATGATGACAAGGTAGCGATTGTGATGTTCCGACATGTTCCCCGTTGTGATTGTCCTATGTCTGAAATGAATGTTTCAGTCCTATCATCCTATATCGTCAACAACACTGATCCCACTGCACTTCTCGGCTGAAAAGATGAAGGAATAGGTGTTCCAATACTCATCATGTTGAGTCTTGCGATCATACTGTCACGATCTCCCTAGCAAAAGGTGGCAGATATCCATGGGCACCATGCTGCACCACACTTGATCTTGCAGCTGGCTTCCCATCAAAAACTTCACAAGCCACCTCCTGTTTATGCTAACCCTATTCTCCTTCTTCAATCACATCAGAGAACACGGCTGGGAATGTCTTTTAAGTCATGAGGCTCAATTTCTCCATCATTTGTGTAGACGCCACGTTCTTGTTGCTCACTCCATTGAAGATGAGACTGCATACATTTTCATTCACAGTGCAACGGGTGTAAAATATGTTGTTGTGAAACCACTACAACTCCCTCGAATCCTCAGTCTGCGGACATCTCACCCTCATATGGTGGAAAATGGAACACCTTACCCTGTTCTTCAGTTGTCTCTTCATAGATGACATCCACCAATGCACATTACTCGGTAAAAGACACAACCCAACTCGTCGGCCAACTGGAGGTGGAGTGCCCAAATCCATCACATCTGAAGCACTTTCGACTGTAGTGGGCGTGCTTCTCGTCAGGTTTCTTCTCACTTTGAATGGCTTTGTCCTTATCCTAACCCATCTTCTCAATTCACTGAGGTATGTTCATGTTGAGGTCTCCACTGGCCACTTCGAGTGGTTGTCTGAAAGGTGGTGGTTGCTTACTCTATTTATTCTGCCTCTCAACTTTCAATGCTAAGTTTTAGACTTCTCTCAATGACCAACAAGGCTCTAGTGCACAACATTGCTAATTGCGGGCTTCAACCCCCAAATACCGGGTTATGGAATATTCATGTGGCTCGACCAACTCACACTGTGGCTCGACCAACTCATACTTCATTTACAACTAGTCAAACTGTACGTTGAACTCCACTTATAGGTTTCTCTATTGTAGGTGGTGAAATCTCAGAAATATATCCTGAAGGTAATGAGGAAATAGTTATTTTCTCTGTAACTCCTTCCTTATCTTCTCCCAATTGGTATTCGTCACTGCCCTCACTCTCTCTGCCTCTGCAAGTATTCCCACCACAAGAAGTCGCTCTTTTACAACTTGATGGCTGCCAGCTTCATCATTTTACATCTGGCACTTCATTGTACTCAAATATTCTTTTAACTGACTGTAGCTGTTTGATGAAATTGTCTAGATCCATGCCTCTATTGAACTCCGGCATGTCCACTTTGATTTCAAAACCTCTATGTCCTCCATATGTTGCTTCCTCTCTCAGTCTTCTCTGATAATAAATTCCAAAGCATTGAGGTCTGGCTTCCTCATCACTGAAGTCATCCATATGGAAGGGATTCAGATACTTGTCCCTTTCTCCCTTTCGACTCTCCATATCACAATCGAAGGTAATCTCTCCGTGAGTTCCCTCATCAATCTATATAAGCATCTGCTAAAGTCAACAGCACTCTCGATGTATATCTTCTCGGGTTTGAGTCTGTATCTCCTTGGTGGCATGTTAGGGTTTGGGATTTGTGAAAGTGGAAACGGTAGTTGGTGGTAGGAAAGCAAAAAAAAATTAGTGGAGATGTTTGTGTATGGCATATGCTAGGAAATCTTACGATGGGACTAGAGTTGGCTAGCTCTGATACCAATTAATACCGGAGATAACCCGAAGAACAACAAAAATATTATTATTGCTAAAAATCAAATAGGTAATTGCAAACAATCAACTGAAAAAATGAGAAATAATAACACTGAAACAACACATATGCAACTAGGGTGATGTTGACAATAGGGGTGATGTTGGCTGCTAAGCAAGAAGAAGGTGTGAGAGACTGGTTATGGTTGTAGAATAGCAGTAGTGGGGAAGAAGGCTACAGTGGGTTGATATCAGAGGAAGGTTGGTCGGGTTGTGCATGGCATTGGGAGGGAGGATTGCCTATGGATGGATGGCAAACCTGTAAGGGGAAGGGGCTGCGACAGACGCAGCAGTTGGATGGTGGCGGGGAAGGGCCTATGGGGAGCTGAGAAGGGGCCATAGACTGGTGGGAACTGGGAGGAGGCGGAAGTAGCAGCGGCTGGACAAAGGGTTTTTTGTCTTTGGGGAGAGTGGTGGATACAGCGATGACAGAGACGTCGGCAGCAGCGGAGGCAAGGTTGCGGGTGATGGGAAAGTAGGAGATAATCAGCACCTCGGGATAAGATACAGCTGGAGTACCACTCGCCCTCGAATATAGTGCTAAGAGCAAAAAAGAGGGACAACAACAGTTGTCCTAACATTAAACATAATAAAAACTGCCCAAAACAAAGAAAAGAACATATAAATACTAGTAGATAACTAGGGGGGCTCCCACTCACTTGGGCGACAACCTTAGCCCTAAGACAAGGGCCCTTATCCCTAAGATAAGGGCCAGCTTGCCCTGGATTCCTGCTTTTCCCAATGTCAGATCG